CTGTCCGGCCTTACAACTGTAGGAGCTGTCAACTGTCATTTGCGAATTTTGTTGCAATTTGCAATCGGTGAAAACCAGAATTATTCAAATATTTTCTGTTTGCATCAGAATTTTTCATTGAAAATGTATACGAAATGTAGACGGAAGTGAAATCGAAGAAAATGTTTTAGGTACTTGCATATTTCCGAGGACTGTAAAAAAGAAGCTCTCATCTTTGTGGGCAATTTATTCTATGCTAAGCATGACAAAATATAAACATAAGAACATTTATGTTAGCAAAATTATGCAATCAGAATATTATGATATATGAAACTGAGAAATCGAAAACTTTGATATACCTCAGCGACTCGAAACGTTTTTATCTTCAACGTCAGATGAAAACTTCTTATTCACAAAGGTTAGTATATAATAGCAATTCATATTATATCAATCATTTCCTCCCGCGTGTTTGATGCCCGACGCGTAGCGTACTCGTGTGTTTTTTCATAAAATTTTGCGGACTCGGTATTTTTGCAAGTCAGATCATCTCAATTTGCTCAAAAATCGATTTATCTCATGAAAATACACGATGAAAAGTTTTTAAAATGTTTCCCTTTCCCCCTGGGGACTATATATAGTCCCCAGGGGGAAACACACGATTAAAGTATACTTTAATCGTGTGTTTTTTCATACAATCTTGCGGACTTGGTATTTTTGCAAGTCAAATTATCTTAATTTTCTCAAATATCGATATATCTCATGAAAATACACCATTGGAAGTCTTTAAAATCCTCTCCTATCCCCCCTGGAGAGCACTTCACTATCGTGTGTTTTTGCATTAAATATTGCGGACTGGGTATTTTTGCAAGTCAAATCTCAATTTTACCACATACCGATTCATCTCATGAAAATACACGATGAAAACTTTTCAAAATTTGTCCCTATCTCCCATGGGGCGCACTTTACTCGTGTGTTTTTCATAAAATCTGACTCGCGAAAATACCCAGTCCGCAAGATTTTATAAAATAGTATATTGTGCAACAAGTGGGGAAAGTTCAACTTTTCTCCACATGTTGCCCACCATACTTTTTCTACAACTTCACTCATCCAAAGAATCCAAGTGATGTAACTTATTGGAATTCATTTTATAATGTGGCACTATGCCACATTGAATATTTTGACCAAAGAGTAGACGCCTTTCCTAGTTCCCCAAAGTATTGAAAAAAAGTACACTTTCCGAAAAAGATTTTATTTCTGTATTTTCATTAGATTCCATACATTTTTCGTATATTATGCCAATTCATATCTCTGTCATTGGCGGTGTATTAATCAAAATCGTCACATCTTGGTATATACATCATATTATATATTATGAATTGTTGATGGATTTCTAAAAGCACCAATGAGAACTACCCTAAAAAATTCAAAAAACTTCTTCTGACAGTTGTGACAACTATTCAAAGCTGAACACCAGCCAATTAAGTTTTTGTCGATTTTTGTTCATTCTCCATGGAAATGTATGTGGTGTTGGCAAAGTGTCGTGAGAAAAAATATTTCTCACAGTATGAGCAATACTTACGGTTTTGAAACTAAGTAAGCTATGAGAAATGCAGTACTTTTCATAGCAGTAGTAGAAAAAAACAATTTTAATAGTTATTTAACCAACTAGTGTATTAATGAGGGCGATTAATGATCGAGATATTTTAACGTGCGAGCGAAGCGAGTGCGTTAATGTTCGAGATCATTAATCGCATTTTAATATACAAGTCGGTTACAAAATTTTTCCGTCGACTATATTTCTCATTTCTCCTGCAATGAAGAAAACTTGGTTTGCGAATTCATCATCCATCCGGAAACTGCTAAAAATCACCCAGTATAGCCTTGTTACTGACATTAGTGATATTTGACATTTGTCGAAATGATCAACATAGGAAATAAATTCCTTGTGTTAGAAAACAGGGAATAAAATCGTGTCAGAAACTTGGAAAGACTAACCCGTTAATGGAAAATCGTCGATGAAATCCATATTTTCGATTTAAATGCAGATTCCGCTAGTTATAGCACAAACAATGAATGCACGCGGTGTATGTTTGGTTGCCTATAAAACAATCGTGCATTAATAGACAAATCGTCCATTAATAGGGGTCATTAATGAACGATTTCATATACATTAAACTTAGTCGTTAATACGAGGTCGACGGAAAAAGTTATTTTTGTATCTAGAGTGCCAAATGCTACTTTGGTGATCAAGATCTGATTTTTTTAACGAGGCGTACTCACATTGAAATGAAAACGTTGAACATTTGATAATGTACTTCCTCTCTCACTGAATTGCTACCTTTCCAACCATAGAGTGACTATTTTAATATCCTACCTCAATCCTACCTATAGTATAGTGACTCTATACGTCACTGTATGTCACTATTTAATCCAAACCTCAATACAAAGAATAGTAGGTTTGTAATAATCCTTGGATGCAGATGGATGCAGTCATCCTACCACCCACGACAGAATAATCATCAGTTCTACCTACAGTCAAGAGTCACTGTAGTTCTACCAACCCTGCTCCACCATCTACCTGCAAAATCCCGAACTATCTGCGGAGAGTGGATTGCAAAAGTTCTAGGGTTCTTCTCTTTCGCTAGATGTTGGATTCAAGTTCGCCTCTGTGCCAGGGCTGTTCCTCACCGAAAATATATAGTACTAGATCATGTTTCGAAAAAATACTACAACTCGGAATCTAGTACTGAATTTCAAATTTGGTTAACCAAATTTCGTATTATTTTTTCCCTACGTCGGCATCAACGGCTATTGGTCGATTTCGTTACTTATAGAGACAGAAGTTGGTCCCGCCTTGAGGACAGCTTTGATTCATATATGAGTAGTAGATATATGAATATGGCTGTTTCTATCCTTCACTTTCCGTCCTTGGCTATATTCCGAATTCAACTGGTCAGTACTGTCAATAAATACACTGACTGTGCTGAAAATCTGTGTTCCGAAATATAAAATCGAAAATACAGTGCTGTAATTCGGAACACGTTTTCATTCTTTTCATCAGTAGTCAGCAGCAGTTGATCAGCTGGTGAAATTTATCAGTCTGAGTTTCTCGTTTATCTGAACTAGATGAGTTAGCCTCCAAATTCAATATTTAACATGGAAGAGCAATCGGTTCTTGTAGCCTTCATAGTTTCTTCGATTGTTGACGATGACGAATCAAGCTCGAGTGATGAAGAATACTTCGACATTTATGTAATATGGCATTAATAATGATTCATTCAGGAGACATTTCAGGTTTATTCAGATATTTATTTACCCAATGCTGCTTCTTATTTCGTAACCTCTTCTACTTCATACTCCATATTATTCTCAGCGTTATTCATTATGTCAATAAGGGGTATTTTCTGATATCGAAAATTATATAATTAACAACAGAAATGAATGTTACATTCCTTCCACCTCTAAAACAATGACAGTTTACTGAAGCCACACTACCTCTTGATGGTCAGCAATTTCAGCAGAATGTTTAGTCGAAATATTTGGAATGAATAGTATATCTGCTCACAAGCATCTGTCACATTCAGTGATTTTTTTGATTTCGGAATGAGAAATCAGCAAATTCAGTACTGTCAGTTGAATTCGGAATATAGCCCTGCTAATACTCAGCAATTTCAGCAGAATGTTGAGTCGAAATATTTGGAATGAATAGTATGTCTGCTCACAAGCTTCTGTCACTTTCAGTGAATTTTTTGATTTCGGAATGAAAAATCAGCAGATTCAGTACAGTCAGTTGAATTCGGAATATAGCCCTTATAGATTCAAAAAGATATTGTATCGGCGATGCGCCATATATAGAAATAGTAGATATATGGAGCAGAGACATGGTTGGTAGAACTGATAGATATTTGATCAGATCTACCAACCTTGAGCAGAGATTGATCAACCACAGTGGTGAGTGTGGTGTCTGTGATTGACTAATCTCTGGTTTAGAGAATAATGTTCTGTGAGAGGAGTGTCTAAAACTTTCGAACCATTCCCATCACCTGATATGTTGAGATTCGTGTTTTTCTGTTTATTATTATTATCATTTTTAGTGATAAAATTGTGGAGGCTGAGTTTGGTAAGGGAGTTTCATTTTGGTCCACTGATAGTAGTGATTTAGGCTTTCAAGGATGTTTTTCCTTCCTCCCGAAACCTTGAGGGTCTCAGGGTCTCGTTAATAATTTCTAGTTTTTCTACGAGCAAATTCGCATGCGTAGATAATTTATCACGTGATTCACTGTGGTCAATCATTGGGTCAATCTGGCAATGAGGTTTGTGAATGGTTCGAAAATTATAGACTCTCGTTCTGTCAACAATGAACTCGGTTGTTTACATTCAGTTCATTGTCTGTCAACAATGACAATTGAAATTCCTTCTGCCTTCTGCCACTTCTGCAATACAAGCTAATACTGCTAATAGATTGAAAATGTCTACAACACACACGATCGTCAGCATGTCAGACATTCCTCCCGATTGATTGCATGAATCCAATCTTCTTGCATTATTCTAGAAATTTCAGGTATATTTCTATTAGCTCCTATTGCAGAAGGAATTCCGATGAGGAATCAGAGAAATAACCAATTTCCAAAAATGAAAACTATATGTGAGTGACTATTAAAGGTACTTACTTTTAAATCATAATGTACCATCCGGATTCCTTCATCTTCCGCTGCAGTTTTTGTGCATTTTACAACAGCACAATGTGATGGCATGAGCAAATTGATGAATAGCGGAAAAATACGATTCATATATCAAAATAATTGTGGAAAACTATTTCCATCACTTCTAAACAAATAAGAAAAGGTCAACTTATAAACATCTCAAAGAAAAGTGACGTTGTGTTTCAATGTTTTGCCTCCAGCGTCAGTCATCTGACAGTTCTTGCACGAAACCCATTCATTGCGTTCTGTGAGTCAACCCTAACCTTGTTTGATTTAAAGTTTTCGTTTTCGGCGCCAAACATTTTTAACCTATGATTCAGTCGGCACAGGTAGTAGTGGTAGTGGCGTAGTCGTTTTTTTTGTATTTTTTGTATTATTATCCTTCTTTTTGTGACATTATCCTGATTACTTTAAAAATTAGACGTTCGTCGGAACCAGACATGAGGTGAATATAACATAACATATTATACATTAATGAGAATTGATGTTGAATTCATGCATGACAAAACATTACATACTTGTATTTTGTTATCATTTCAATTTTTAAATTATAGTTGACAAAAAGGTGGGTTGACAACCTATTATTCAGTTGACATGAAAATCGTGAATCTGTAATCAATAATCAATACTACCTAAATGATCCTGATTTTAAATTATGTTGAATTCGACATCTTAACCTTGACCATTTAGCAGTTGATGTACCTACCTACCTACCTAGTTGCTACCTACCTACATATTTTCATTATTCAAGCTTATAACCTTTGGTAGAAGTCGGGATGTGCAAAGATAACAAAGCATTTCAAATGTGATGATCTCTTCCTGTTCCTAATTCAAGTTTGTTGCTTCTTTCATCTACATATCAAGTACCTAATAATGAAGGTACATTCATTATTCCAGATTTTTTGGGATTTTCTCTCCCCGTTTCTATAAAATAAAAATATGAATATCATTTCAATATACATATAAGGACAAATCAAATGATTTGCCCCAAAATGTCACTGCTTCTGAAGAATGTTCCTATCAGAGAGCCTTAAAGAAAAATTTACTAGCTGGTTTGGAGAAGAGAAATGAGAAAGTATATAGAAAAAATATAAAATTTTCACTTATCTTTGGACGTTTCGGGAACGAAACTGCTCCCGTTTTCAACATAAAAAATGGATATTTGTATGGCAAATTCATATTTGTCTTGACACTTCTCAGTTCTCAGTGAATTTCTCTTTCAGACTCTGGTAGGAAAATTCTTTAAATGCAGTGACATTTTGGGACAAATCATATGATTTGTCTTAACTAAACTAAATGATATTCATATTTTTATTTTATAAAAACAAGGGGTGAAAATCCCAAAAAATCTGGAATAATGTATTTAAAAGGAAATACTTTAAATCATTATTATTTTGTACATTGCCATAATCACTGCATCAGCTTTTGAGTAAATTGGCCTTTAATACGATGAGCAAACCTACAGGTCTGAGGAATTAGAAAATATATTGAGAAGATAGATATTTCAACATGATGTTTTTTATACTTCAGTCAAAAATTGGGGAAAGCAGACCTTATCAAACAGTTTTTTTGAATTTAGGGATTTGTCTGAGTGTATTCTAAAAGTCCATGCAGCTAATGTAGTTGAGCTAATTCCAGGACACCCTGATGAAGAGTATTCATATTCTATATGTTTTTCAAAAATATCATGAACAGCTGGTTTAAGGTGGAGTATACCCATATCAGCCCATATATAAGAAAGGAAAGCTCATATAAAATTACCCTATTAATTTTTATCATAGTTATCTCCAATCTTACCTCTTAAAGTTTCTATGAAATCAGAAATTGAATTTGTAGATACTGTTAGAATGGTTTTGAGAATGGTGTTCTTGGGTCCCTGGATCTCAGATGGTGGAGAAGTAGTGAAGGAACTTGAAGACTAGTTTTCTATTCACCATTTATTCAATACTAAAAGCTTCATGAACTAGAGAATAAGAACTCTTATGATGAGCACTGTTTAATACATAAAAACAATATAAAAACTGTCTCAAATGCATTCTAACAATACTCATTCTGGAATGAAAATTTTTACATTTCCTGATCAGTGGACCATGTTGAAAAATTTTGAAATACCTACCTATTTAAATTTCTGGAGGCATGCTCTCTGCTAAAGGGGTGGAAAGTTTGATATTGATTATTAGGCATTTTTTTCATGAAAAGTAGACATCCTATTTGCTTTTTGCATATTTCAATTCCAAATACCCTGGGCAAATTTTCAATAGGGTATCTCATGCATAAGGTGGTTTGCCCATTTTGTAAATTTTTGTGTTTTCAATTTTGCCTGTATTAATAAAGATCATGGAATTGGCAGAGCAGGTTGAAATAAATGTAATCAAGTCTGATCAGACTTTGTATCTTTGCAACTTCAACTGGAGAATGTCTCTGGTTCAAACAAAAAATATTTGTAATATCACCATTTATATGGATATCGTACGGGAAAATCAACTATAACTGTTCTATTGGAAATCGTGGAGGATATTCTAATTTGCTTCGAAAATCAAGAGCTCACCGAATTATTGTGCTGTGACTTAAGCAAAGCTTTCGACACCGTTGATCACGAATTGCTCCTATATAAACTGCAATCCTACGGAATAAGAGGTACTCCATACGACCTTATGAGAAATTACTTGACAAATCGCCGTCAGACGACATGGTGGAATGAAGAAGAATCAACAACTGTCGATGTGATCCAAGGTGTACCACAAGGATCAATTTTGGGCCCTATACTTTTTATAATTTATACAAATGATCTAACATCCAACGTTCATTGTTTTGGAGCAGGTATATATGCAGACGACTCTACATTCATAACAAAGGGAAAGAAGATAGAAGATCTGATAGAACAAAAAAAACAAGTCCTAGCTGAAGCAAATATTTGGTTTTCAGCAAACTCACTGAGTCAAAATAACGCCAAGACACAATGCCTTACTCTATCATCGAGAAATGCAGAGATAAATGAACTCAAGTTGCTTGGTATAACTATAGACAACAACCTGAATTGGAAACCTCACATAGGAAAATTAAGTAAAAGACTCAGCACATCCTTTTATACCATTCGAAGACTAAAAAATATCTCTACTCATCAGTCTGCCAGAGTAGCATACTTCGCTAATTTCCACAGCATAGTTTCCTATGGAATTCTTTTATGGGGCACATCAACAGATTCAGATAAGATCCTCATCTTACAGAAAAAGGCCATCAGAGCACTATGCTCTTTAAGCTACAATGAAACTTGTAGAGAGCATTTTAGGAAAGAAAAAATATTAACGGTGCCATCAATATACATTCTAACTTGCCTCAAATATGTACATGCAAACAAGGAGCGCTTCCAAAAAAACGCAGACAATCACTGCTACGCAACTCGAAACCGAAATCAGCTGCAAATACCACACCACAGGATGAAAAAAACACAACAGGGCATAGACTATTGGGGTGCCAAGCTGTACAATCGGCTTCCTCAGAAGATCATCGAATTGACGAAGACACAGTTCAATATACTTTTAAACAATAGACTTATAGAATTGGCATGCTATTCTATTGATGAGTTCTTGAACAGTGATTTTCACTGAAATTTATATCTCATATTTTTATTTATTTTTACTTTATTTATCTCATTGTTTTATGTCGTCAGTAACATTGTTGAAAGATTTTAAATAACTGTTTTTATAGATGTATAAATCAATTTTACATGTTTTGTGTTTATATGTTAAAATTTGACTGTATTCTTGTACCTATTTACAATGAATAAACTCTCTCTCTCTCTCTATATTTTTATGATTATTTGTCTCCCATCGCTACGTGTCGGGAGACAACACAACCTGGAGCTAAAATCTACTACTTTTTTTCCTTGTATAATGAAATACCATTTTTTGTTGAACTCAGCATTTCCTAGCAAATAATTATTTAACTCTGAAAAATGCTGTTGTGCCTGTTTTTTAACCCTTCATAGAAATAATATGAAAATTCACATATACAGGGTGTCCGCTAAAAGGAGGTCAATCCATTAACCACATATTCCTTGAACAAAAACAATATGAGTTTCTAAATATCATTTTTCATTTTAGCCCTTCATATTCGGTATACAGGGTGTCAAAGTTGGAAATTAAAAACTGTTTTTTTCTAATTACTCGCGTATTTGATAAGATATTAATCTCAAAATTGGTACATTACTTCAGCACAAAGAGTTACATCGTGTGAGGAAAACAAAACAGAAAATAACTGTCAAATATTCAAGATACTGGGGGTCAAGTTCACACTTACCCCCATATTTTGTTTGTACGTGCGCTAATGACTTCCTATCTATTTTCCTTCAAGTGTTCAATCATTTTTGAGTATTTTTTGTTTCCTGTAAAATTTTGATTGAATCATTTGTTTTTAAGATAATTCGAAAAGTACTGGTTATTGTTTGATGCCTATGCGGCTTAGGTAATCTCATAATGTTCACATACTCCTATTTATTTCGTCGAAATTGAAAGAGGGCGTATCTTTTTACGTACGAAAAGGTAAATATGGAAATACCGGGTGCTCGGAGCAAATGTACTTAAATAATTTTTACAAAAAAAAAAAATTTAAAAAGTGTAAAAATTATTTTAATACATTCGCTCTGAGCACCCGGTATTTCCATATTCACCTTTCCGTACGTAATAAGATACGCCCTCTTTCAATTTCGACGAAATAAATAGGAGTATGTGAACATTATGAGATTACCGTAAGCCGCAAGGCATCAAACAATAAACAGTACTTTTCGAATTATCTTAGAAACAAATAATTTTATCGGAATTTTACAGAAATCAAAAAATACTAAAAAATGATTGAACACATAAAGAAAAATAGATAGGAAGTCATTAGCGCACGTACAAAAAAAATATGGGGGTAAGTGTGTACTTGACCCCCAGTATTTTGAATATTTGACAGTTATTTTCTGTTTTGTTTTCCTCACACGATGTAACTCTTTGTGCTGAAGTAATGTACCTATTTTGAGATTAACATCTTATTAATTACGCGAGTAATTAGAAAAAAACAGTTTTTAATTTTCAACTTTGACACCCTGTATATCGAATAAGAAGGGCTAAAATGAAAAATGGTATTCAGAAACTCATATTATTTTTGTTCAAGGAATATATGGTTAATGGATTGACCTCCTTTTAGCGGACACCCTGTATTATGGAGATTTGAAACCAAGTAATATTATGAGGTTTTCCTGCGGAAAAATTCCTGATCTAATTTCATAAAAAAAATCCCCTTTTTCCATGCACGGAACCACAATCACGTAAGGGTCCAAAATGATGTTCGTCTCTGAAAAACTGATCATTTTGATGGTACAAAGTTGGTAAGAATCGCACAACTAATAGCTGGGATATAGAGGGAAGGGGGCGTTTGAAGTGTTTAGTGGCGGAGTTTTATAAA